CCAGTGCTCTTAACTGCTGAGTCAACTCTCCAGTCCCTAAAATAAAAATTTTAATAATACAGACAGGGCAAAAGGAATCAATGAGAAATGTTATGTCACTCACAGATTGGGAAGAGTGGGGTTATTTCAACTGCTAGGCTAAGAGAAGAGGGAAAGGATATCGCAGTGATAATCAAACATAGTTGAGAATTAGCTGGAGTCCTGGAAAAGGCATGTAAAGTGCTTGTAAAAGCTGTAGCTCCCGAGATACTGCCACTTCCAAAATGCTGTCAAAGCAGGGAACGAGGAGAAGCAGTCTTTGCTCCCACATTCTGATTTCCTCTGGCTAAACCCCTTGGCCAAGTTTAACTGGAAACCTGTGGAAAGGATCTCTGGTAACTTAATCTAGAAAAGTCAGCATACAGAGGGACAAAAGTGATACAAAAATAGACCAAGAAGTAATATAAAATTTTCATGATACTTCCTACATAAGTTTAGACATATGGAACTGGATTTTTCTTTCTCCAGCTGCCTCATCTATAGAACAATATATATTGAAGCTGTTTTGAGATGCTGTATGCCAGCTTAAGATCAAATTTTCTTGTTACTGTAATCTCTCATGTAGTTTTCCATATGCCATAATACCTTCATAGATTTTATAGCTTTACTGTGGGACTTCTGACGATTCACTGGGGACAAAGAAGACACCGATATAACATCTTATGGAGAAAAAGAGATACAAAGAGAGACTGCTATTTACGTCTTTTTATTCTGAAAAAGTAAAGAGTAACCATGAAAATAAAAGCCCCTGCTCAATAAAGTCCATGTTCTTTCCCCAGTTAGGTTCTGAAAATCAATCTGAACTGATTTGTATCTCTGTGTGACATAGGAATCCTTTTCTCCACTTTCTCTAGGAGTTTACTAAGAATTTAGGGTTTGACATGTATAGTTCCTTGTGATCCCAAAATCCACAGACATGAAGGCAGATTAAACTAGTCCTGGGTTTATCTTTACTGGGCCAGAGTCATCTAGGATTCTTGTAATGGGTTAGGCATTTCCAGCAAAGCAACGTGTTTGAAAACAGATTTCTAAATCTGGACCTATTCAATTAAACACAACTCTGTAAGTGAAAGCTGTGATGTCACACAACTAGAAATAGCTTTGACATTAGCAATTACAAGTTTGTCTTTCTTTTTTGGAGATATTGTCATTATCTTCAGAGCTAACAGGGACTTCAGAAAAAAACTTAGTTACGTTTCCTCATTTTTCAAATGAAGAAACCTAGGATAGAGTGAAATGCAGACCATGGACTCACCATAATACCAAGATTACTCAGTCAGTGGCTTCTGAGTAGAACATATAACTTCTCTAAAGTAAAAGTCTTTAATCAAGAAAAATTTCTAAGGTAGGATATTCTTTATAGTGAATACTACTAGGTATTCATTTAAATGATGCCAGCAGTTACTGATTTGTGAGAGAAGTTTTAAAGCACACACATACCCAACAATATTCAGAAAAACTTTATAAATGTCCCATAACTTCATCTGGGGAGAAACACAGTCTTAATTGTTGACAGACAGTAATCCATTCTGGGTTTTCATTTTCTAATTTTCTCAATGCTATAGAACACTGAATCGTTTTTTAAATTGGCTTAATAGTCTATCTCTGTCTTAAAATAGTAGTTGGACCTCATCTAATTTCAATAGCTTTTAAATAATCTGGTCTGTGTTTCCGAGATGAGTTCTAGCTGCATTAGTAACACAGACCCTGCCAGAAGTACCCTGCTTGATTTACTTATTCACAGGACCCCAGATATGAGCGACTGGAGAGAGGAGCATTTTCAGAATGCATATTAGCTCTGTGGTATAATGACTGATGTCAGCTTCAACTTTGCCAAACGTCTCTCATCACTACTAGCTGCATCCCATTCCAAACTCTTGGGCTTGCTCTCTCTTTCTGGAGCACACTCCTTTCCACATATTTGCTGTATGGATTCAACAATATAACAATCATTTTCTTTCCTTAAAGTGCCACTGCTGCAATAGATAAAAATAACTTGTTACTGTTGTCACTGCCTGGCTGAGGGAGGTGATATGGGAAGATGAGGAATTGCAGTAAAATTCTGGATATGTTTAACTCCCTTTGCTTATCCAAAGCTACTATTGTCCTGCCCTGAGTCTCCAACTCCTGATTTTTCCCATTTTTATGCAACAAATGTTCGGGGAGAAAAATAAGAAGTAAATGGCAATCTCTGTGCTGAGCCTATGGTTTTTAATTTGCTTTAAGCTGGAACCCAGAGAGGCACTGCCAGCTTCTGTGAGCATTCTTTTCTTTACTGAAGGGAAAAATAGGTACTCTGTTGCACAAAATAGGCCATGACATGCCTTCCATAAGCTTCTGGGACAGTTGAGGGAATGTAGGATTCAACCAGGCAAGTAAACACACACATTTAATACTACGGTAACATGGACCAGAAAGAAAAAAACCCAGTACTTAGTCTAAAGCATAGCGTCAAGAAAGAAAGAATGCTCTCCCCATTTATTTAATGTTTTCCTTATGTTTCCTCTGAACAGTACTTGTTCCTTGACAAGCTTTTCCTGCCCACTGCATCTAACATTTCTTTTCTGGGATGGCTCAAGAACTGCGGCTTCTCACTGGGTTTGTTTATTTACTTACACTGCCATTCCTGTTCTCATCCTAACGAACATATGTCGGCACAGCACACGGTGAGAAGTGGGTGTCTTTCTTCATGTTTATTTCCCTGAACTTGTTCACCAAATTGCTTTTTTATATCCCTTTTGCAATCTCATCCCATCCGGCTCAAGTAACCTGGATTAGAAAGGCAGTCTCTGGAGTCCTTTTCAAAGGGAGCCTCCCATAGCCTTTAAATCCCCTACATTTTATGGTGCGGATATTCAGAATCTGAGGTATTAAGCAAGAAGGAATGCAACGCTGATGGGGACAGGCACAGAGAAATTGAGTGGCTTCTGTGCTCCACAATCAGTATTGGAGCTGGGTGGTTATCTGTAACTTTTCTGATTCAGAGCGATAAACTGTCATTTACAGCTAGACATTATGCAACAGATGGAGAGTGGTCTGTGTACATATGTGTGTGTGTGTGTGTGTGTGTGTGTGTGTATCTCGTGCGCCCCCTATTCCTTGCCTACTTGTGGAATATTCAGAAAACAGTTTCACCACAGTAAAAGGGACTGTGATAAATGGGAATTCTTAAAAACAATTTTAAAACCATATTCTTGATAAGGTTACTATCTTCCACATATATCAAACTTAAAAGATATGATCTCTGTTTTCAAATTTTCAATACAAGTGTGCAAAACTAATAAACATTTAAAGAATTAACAGCAAAAGGCCAGCCTCCCAGATTCTGTTTTAGAACCTTGCAAAGAATACTTACTTCGAGTTCCATGGCTTTTTTATCCAGGCCATTTCATCTCCTCAATCCCATTTTTGGGGTGCATAAAAATGCACCAGTAAAAGACTCCAAAGACCTATAACCACAGGCACATTTCAAGCCTACAAAATGGAACTGATAATCTCCGGGTCTCCTCTAATTTGTAGACAAATAACTTAGAGAACAATCCTTCAGATCTTACTAATTTTCCACCAAGACTCTAGAAATTTTTTTAAAATCTCAGTTATTCCCAAGGAAGAATTAGCAAGGTGTTTATGAATCAAGAGTTTTCTAAGTGGCTGGCCTGAAGTCCGGTGCTGCATAAGGCTCTAGCGCCGCAGAGGAACCCTTCAGATACTGTTAAGTTCATTTATGGTAGGTTAATATTAAAAACGCTTTGAGGCTTGTGACCGTCACCAAAATACACCTTTAGTAACTACAGAAACGTCCACTGTATTATGCTCCTGGAGAAGAACTGGGAAGCTCCAAGGTGAGAAATACCATCCTGCCTAGCTTCTTCCTCCCATGTTTGGGCCAGGGAACCTGGCTCTTCGTTGCCACTGCCAGGGGCCTCCAGTTGCTTTGGGAACAGAAGAAAGAAATGGATCCTTTTCTTCGCCAAGATGGGGACAGTCTTTCCACACAGTATTCCCAGTTCCCCAGATGAGAAACCAAAATGTGTACAGATCCTCTCAAGAACATTAGGAGACAGGAGGGAGAGCGAACAGGCGAGCTGACTACAGAGGGAAGTGCCTGAGGGAAGGAGGAATCTTCCAGAGCCTCAGCAAAGACTCAGTTTGGAAGAAAGCCGCAGCACAATAGCTTTTCCAACCAGAAGGTCCCAAGCTCACACACCTCTGGGTTCTCCCTCTTGCGAACAGGTAAAGAGCCTCCAAGCTGGAGGGTAGAGCCCACCCAGTTCCCCTGGACCACCCGCCAGGTATCCCACTGCAGCTGCTTTTATTGAAAGGGAGAGCGGGGGGAGGGGGGAGAAAAGAAAAGGAAAGAGGAAAGTAAGGAAAGAAAAGAGAGGAAAGCAGCAGAGAAGAGGATAAGGAAGTTGAGAAGGAATCTGTAGCCAGAAATCCCTGGAAATGAGGGGTGAGGGGCGACTGCCTGGGATCAGTCTCTGGGGTGAGAGCAACCCCATCGCGAGCTCGAAGCGCCCTGCTTCAAGCTGAGGAGAACCGAGACACTGGGAGCTGCCGGGTCTCCGGCAGGATGGAAGGTCGACCTTAGCGCACCCAGCCCCAGCGCACCCACCTCGCCCGGCCGGAGCTGTCCCTCCAAGGGACTCTGCTCCGCCCGAAAGGACTCCCCCACCCCCGCTCCCATTCTGCGGCCGCTGTTGCAGTATCCAGAGATGCTCTGCTGCAGACCCGGGACCCCTCAGGCGCCTCTTCCCGTCCCTCTGCCAAATAGTAACGCCTGTACTTTTCCAGCTCCCTCTTTCCCTCTTGAAATTGAAAGTTATTGAGGTCGCTCAGGGTTGTTGCTCCAGCAGTTTCCTTCCCCGCCCCCCAGCCCCCCCCCCCCCCCCCCCCCCCCCCCCCCCCCCTCCCTTCTTCTCCCCTTCCCTCCCCCTCCTCCCCTATGGGGTGCTCCCAGCCCAGCCCAACACTGGAGCGGCTCCTGCTCGGGAACGCCAGAAGCAGCTCGGGGTCTCTCCGCCGCCCGTTGGCCATGGCCGCGGTACCCACGGCGCCCGTTCCCCAGCGCTCCCCGGGCCCCCGCCTTTGCAGCAGCCGCCGCAGCTTCTGAGCCGGAGCTGCCGCCGCTGCAGCCGCTCGCCGGGATCCCGCCCGCTGCCGCAGCCGCTGCGCAACCGAGGCTAACCTGTGGCCACCCGGGCGGCTCCTGCAACCTTCCCTCGCGGCGATGACAGCCACCCCAGAGCAGCAGTCAGTGTTCGGACAATTTGAAAATGCAATAGTTGATTTCCCTGTCCATCCGCCCCGCTTGGCTGGCCACCACAGCACGCCTGTTGGATCTCAGTGGAGAAGTCCCGCTGCCTGGGTTTTCCATCTCTCCATATAGACACGCCTAACACCTACATATATATTTTTTTTCAAAAACATTAAATATAACCAATAGTCAAAAGAAAAAAAGAGAGAGGAAGGAGGGAAACGTTACTGGGTTACTATGCACTTGCGACTGATTTCTTGGTTTTTTATCATTTTGAACTTTATGGAATACATCGGCAGCCAAAACGCCTCCCGGGGAAGGCGCCAGCGAAGAAGTAAGTGCAGGGGTTTTCTAACGCGTTTGCTCCCTTCCTCCGCGTTCACCTGTCGGGTCGCTTTGCCTGCTCCTGAGTCAGCTCGCAGGGGCAGTCAGTACTCCTTCCAGCCTGCACACTATGCCTCCCACAGGAGATAACCGTTTGGGCACTGGGGATGCTGACGGCTCCCGTTCTTCCCCAGCGTCCTAGCGGGTGCTGGCATCCAGAGCACCCAGCAGTGGCCTGACTCCCGCCCACTAGTAACTTCAGGATCTGGAAATACTGGGTTCTTCCTTAGATTCGCTCTAGGAATTTGTGCTTCCCTTTTGAGGTTCAGACGGAGGCCTAAGAGCCCCAGGCACTTGGGACGCCCTCCTTTCGGGATGCCCCTGACCGCTGAATTGAGGCGCCGCTTTGACACTGGCTCGCCACAACTTGCAGCCAGACGCGGGGGAAACCTTGGGCCCCCAGGCTACGGTCTGGTAGTCACGCACCCTAGGGACAGCCAGGGAGACGGAGAGCAAACACCGGCACTAAGACTTCCCACGACACGAACGAGGGGAGCAGAGTGGGGCGGGAGGCGTGGGGGCTTCCAGGTCTGTGTCTTCGCAGAATTGCCTGAGGTCCCATATGCTCCCTCTTGGGGGTGGGGGGTCTGAACGCAGACGACTCCCTAGGTTTGGGACTTCCAGTTACTGTATTGCCTGTCCCACGCGAGCACTTTGGCCATCTCAACCCTTTCAAGTGGGTCCCTGAGCCAGACACATGCTGAAGGTGGGGTTCCCCGTGAAGACAGGAACTCACCTCGTTGTCGCTGCTCCTTATCCTACTACTTGGGAGAGTAGCTTGTGATAGCTGCGTGAAACAGTGCTGTAGCTGGGATTATATGGCACCCCCAGGGAGGCCTGCACTCAAGTTGGTCTATCTGAGGCAAGGTTGGCATCTTTCAGAGATGAGGGAATACATGCGAGGGTGGTGTCTCTACTTGCTCTAGGGTAGCCTGGCGCGCGCTGCTCAGGTGTCGGTGCCCACTTAGGGAGTTCCTTCTCGGTCAAGGGTGAAGGAGCCAGGGGCGACCCTGGCTTAGTACAGAGGGCACTGGAGGGGAAGGCGAGGAAGTGGAGCGCGCTGGAGGCAGAGAAGGATGCTATTGCCTTGGCAGCTGGGACCTGGGCGGCTGCTCAGTCCACGACCTCGCCTGTACCCAAGGAGGATCCCTCCCCAAGTGTCCAGCCCGCAAAACCCTTTGGGGCAGGAAAGCCCGCAGCTCCGAGGACACAACGTTGCTTGTGTGAGATTGAAAGTTAGTAATCGCTTCTCGGTCGCTGTTTGTCTCTGCCCGGGCCCTGGGCGTGAGGGTCCCTTGAAAGCTCCCTTTGTACCACTAGCCTGGGCCAGACAAGGTTTGATTCACCTGAAAATTGGCTTTAAAAAACGTGGCTGGGCGGGAGCCCCAGAGGTCCAGGGCTGGCCTCACTGCTAGTAGGATCGCATCGAAGGGTGCTGGAGGGCCTAAACTAAACATGTCAGGGCATCCATTTATTATTCTTGGCCCCTGGGTGGTTTGTATTCTCTTTAACCCTCCCACTCAATCTCTCAGCCGCCTCAAGGAACCAGCGACCTGGGACTCAGAGGTCTGGGTCGCCTTTCCTCCTCTCAGGATAGAATCCCTGGGGACCTAAGGAGAATGGCCAGCCGGGAAAACACAGGCCAGGAGGACGCCTACTTCTTGCCCAGCACAGCCGGTGCCAATCTGGCATCACAATCCACTCCAAACGCTTAGAGTCCCCGACCCCCATCCCCCACCCCAGACAGGGAGCTACACACTTGCTGGGTTGGGACAGAGTTGTGTCAAAGTGTCAGTGGCACTTCGGTTTGTGGTTAAGAAACTTGTGTTTCTGAAGGAAACCAGGAGAAAGAAAATTCGCTGTGCGTTCGATCCTATCTTGCGCAGTGAAGACCACAGTGGGGGAAGCACAAATGTGCTGGGATCTGGAGAACTGGCAAAGTGGAAAGGCAAACTGCTTTTCACCCTGCCTTAATCATCTCAGGGCCAAGTCAAAGGCGCCCTCTGGTTGTGTTGCGGGGATGAAAGAGGAAATGGGTGGAATTGAACTGAAATTCCAATGATTCTACAGGAGTTGGTCTGGAAGAAAGCTCCTCCAAGTGATGCTCCTTCCCTGAAGCTTTCTCAGTCTGTTTGTGGCTAGGGCTGCTCATGCAATCCTGGGAGAGGGGCGACCCCTTGCGTCCTTCGAGGAGATAGAAGAAACTTTTGGCAGGTGCAGCACCACCGCCTGGAGAATAAGGATTGGGGGGTAGAAATACCCTTGCTGAATGTCCAGAAACTCCGAAGCCAAGCTGCATATTTATAAATAGGTCATATTTTCGGAAATCTCTAAATAACAATTTAAGAAAATGTTTTATAACAAAAGCAATATCGTGGTCAAAGGCATTTTAAAAATAGACAGACATGTTTTCTTCAATAGGGCAGCTAAAGTATTTAAGGATATTTATTTTGTCTCAGAGATAAATAGCTTCACTTTTCCTAAACTTTTAGAATGACCAACAGAGGTAGAAAATTAAACTAAAGGACTCTTTCCCAAGATTTAGAAAAATGGTCTCTTTACTATTTTAATACCAAAGATCCTTGCAAGCAAAGATTGTCATTTGTAGTGTTAAATATGTACAGGTTTCAAGAGTCATGGTTTATCTTCAGTAAGAAGACACAATAAGTCATGTATGAAATTCTAAAATATATAATGAAACTTTTAAAAGAAGACAGGATGTTTTAAAATGGAAGTCTTTTTTTAAAAAAATCTAATTACAGTGATTCAACAAATGTTACCAATTTGGATTAATATACAGCTCCTAGAGATGATGAAATTTATTCAGGATAAAAATAGCCATCCAGCAAGGTTTTAGAGGCAAGCCTTAGCTTTGGGTATGCAATGCTAACTCAAGAAGCCTAAACTCAGTTTTTACCTCATTTTCAGCTCAATCTTTGCAGCTTGGTAGAGTCAACCTTTGAATTCTGGGTTGCTTGCTGATGAAATTTAAAAGTTATCTTTGCCATAACAATAATCATAATCCCTTACTAATGCATCAGGTTTTCATTTGGATTATGTATACAGAACCTGAAATTGTCACTTGAAGTGTAGAGTTCGGTGTTAGCCTCTCTGTTTTATAGACAAGGGGGTCTATGAACCAGGGGCCAAGCAGCATGCAGAAAGCCAGAGAGTCGGTCAGTAAAACTTGTCCTCTGCCATGAGCCTCGCTGTCTTTCAGAATTTATACTATGTACTGATCCTGTGATAGAGAAGGTATTACCCTAATGAAATAATTAAATGATCTCCAGATTGTTGTTTTCTGGGTAAGTTTAGAGAATAGGCTATTCTACTTTAATGGAAGTCTTTGAACTAGTACATATAAGCATTGTTACAATGCTGTCAGAATTAAATACTTAAAGGAACTAGTGCATTTCACTCAATATAATATATTATTTGATTATCCAGAAGACATTATAGGATGATACTGTGTCAAAGGGCTATTGTCAGAAACATAAGCTATCAGGCATTATGCCTTTTATTTATAGACATCTATTAATTTTATCTTAATTGTTCAGATTCTAGATTGTGAAAAATTTGTAAGTTCATTACATACATAGCACTTAAAATATATGCACCACAATCTATAATACTTTTTTAAAATATGAAAAAGGAGCAAGAATACAATAAGGCTAATTTCATTGGTAATAAAAACAAACTTACTGGAATATACTAATCATTGTTTATGACTTTGTAGCAGATATTGAGACATTCCCTAAGTTTCTGATATATCCTTGTGATTTTATTACTGACTCTGGAAAACAACAATTTAACTGATAAAGTAAGAAAATATTTGTATTTTAAGAAATTAAATTTGAATAATGTTTCATTTGGATGTTGGCAACAATACATTTTTCTCACTTGCCTCCATTTGTCAATTGTATGCCTTAGTTTTGAGAAAAATACTTTGACAGACAGAGCGACATGAGAAAAATTTGTTGGGGAAAGTGTATTCTGTGACATTATGTAATATCTATGCAAATCAAAGATTAATTCAAAGTTCCAAGAGATAGTGCAACTTAAAAATACAAATAAAATCTATTTACCTTTGTGAATTCTAATTAAATCGTCATTGAACCATGTGGGTTGTTTCCTAAAATAATCCTGTTGCTACACTATTTTAATTCTTTGTTAAATACTCCAGAGGAAAGATTTTATTAAACACCTTTAAAATGGCCATTTGAAGTACTGTAATTTTAGCCCCAAGTTACTCTAAGTATTGAGACTATAAGAATAAGCACAAAACTATTTACTATAGATATTTCAATGTTCTTTTAAGCATGCAGTATGAACAGTATTTCAATTTATAAGTAGATAAGCCTTGCTAAGTCATTTCTCCATTTAAGATTTCCCTGGTTTTTAATGTTCTACAAATTAAGTCCCCGGAAAGCAATGAATGGAAGTTACAACATGTAATAAAATTTGATTTTCAACTTATTATAGGAAAACCCTTGCTGTATTACTACAAAACGGCTTTATTAGACATTTGATCCTTTCAGATGATTTAAATCTGGATAGGGATCTCCAGATTGTTACTAAATGTCTAAAATATTTTCTAGTTAAATGCCTAATCTTTTTTATATGTGCAGTAGTATTTTGAATCTTTCATAACAATTTTTTCAGAACCTTATATAGAGTAAGATCAAAAGATTACTCTGCAATTAGAATAGTAAACTCACAAAACTATAACTATTATAGATATTGAGATTCACTAAGTTGTCTTTTTATGTCTGTTTAAAAGTTTCAAGTTAGACATTTCCCTGATCTCTCTCTTCCTACTTCCTCACTGTTCATTCATATACCCCAGTCCCACTCCCTAAAATATCATTTTCCAAGTAGTGAATTCCTGAAAAGTCACCACAGTGGATATTGTGTTTAATGAAATATAAGAATCAACTTTGGCTACTGTAG